AAAAACCAGAAAACCATCTGAGGCAACTCCTAAAATACCTAAATCATCTTCCAGCTGCCAAACAAATTTGACTTGGGTAAAAACTGATTCTCCTCAGATTTTTTCAAGTGCAATATCGACTCAAACAGCAGAGCCACTTTCTGGCATGTCTCAAACTGAATCAGAGCAAGTTCCTGATCCTGACGCATCCTCTCAGTCAACTACAAAGTCTCAATTGCTATCTAATGTCCATCAAATTGCTAAAGGCAAGACTAAACCTAAGCCTGATTATTCAAAAAAACAAAGTGGCAGAGCCCCAAAAGGGTCTGAAAATAAAATTCAACTTTACAACAAATATGGATCACTTGACGACATGGACGTGTCCGAAAACGTCCGATAAAGGGCACACAGCTTGTCGCCCTCCAAAACAGTGCGGGGTAGATCCCAATAAATCCACCGAAAGATAGTTTATTCCAATAATGTTGTACAGTGGAATTGCAGAGGACTAAGGCATAATTATAATGAATTACTGTTATTAGTCCAGGATTGTATGCCGTCAGCATTTTGTCTGCAGGAGACTTATTTAAAGCAGATAGATCCTTTTGACCTACGTCATTTCAATGCTTATCATTATTTCTCACCTCCGGGTGACAGGGCCACTGGAGGTTCTTCAATCCTAGTCAAACAGAATGTTATCCATAGCCCTATTACACTTACTTCTAATCTTCAAGCAGTTGCAGTGCGACTCACTTTACACGTTGCATTTACATTATGCTCTTTGTATATCTCACCGTCTTCAACTCTTCGGAAGACTGACCTTCAAAATTTATATGACCAACTCCCAAAACCTTGTATCATTATGGGAGATTTAAATGGCCACAACCCGCTCTGGGGTGGTACCACTACTAATGCTAAAGGTAAACTATTAGAAGACTTTTGTTCAGATAATGATGTATGCATATATAATGACGGTTCTAGCACATATTTACATCCTGGCACAGGAACTTATTCAGCCCTTGATTTATCAATTACAGACTCAGACTTATTGAATGAATTTGAGTGGTCAGTCCACGACGACCTGTGTGGAAGTGACCATTTCCCAACAATTCTCAAACCCGTGAATCCATCTGATGTTCCTCCATCATCAAGATGGAACTTTAAGAAGGCTAACTGGCCTTTATATGAAACTTTCTGTGCTGACAAACTCAAACCTGAACTTTTTCATGATCTTCCTGATGCCATCAAATGTTTTTAGATGAGCTCAGACACATAGCTGACAAGTGTATCCCCAAATCCTCTGCAGTTCCTCATGTACGTAAACCATGGTTTAACGCTGAATGCAAACAAGCTCGCAAGGCACGGAAGAAAGCTGAACATTATTTCCGTTGCCATCCTATGGTCCACAATTTAAACAAATTTAGAATTTTAAACGTCAAAGCACGGCGTACTTTCAAACAAAAGAAACGCCAATCTTGGCGAAACTATGTCTCAAACATCAATTCGCGCACGCCAATATCAAAGGTGTGGAACATGATTCAGAAAATAAAAGGTAAGGGCTCTAAATCTAGCATTAAGCATCTAAAAAATGGAGATGAATTATTAACTGATAAATCTGACATAGCAAATAAACTTGGAGAAACTTTGGCGAAACATTCTTCCTCATCAAACTATGTACCTGAATTCCAGAAATATCAAAGACAGCAGGAAAAGAAATATATTAATTTCAATTCAGACAATGGGGATGACTACAATGAAACCTTTTCGATACATGAGCTTCATACTGCTCTTGACCAGGCTCACGATACTGCTTCAGGAGCTGATGGTATACATTATCAACTCCTGAAACACTTACCTGAATCATGTTTAGAAACGCTCTTATCTATTTTTGATGTCATTTGGACATCTGGACAATTTCCTTCGTCGTGGCGCGATGCTATAATTGTGCCCATCCCTAAACCTGGACGTGATCATACTGATCCTTCCAATTATAGGCCAATTTCATTAACTAGCTGTGTTTGCAAGACCATGGAACGCATGATAAATAATCGACGTGTTTGGTACTTGTAACTAATATACAATGTGGTTTCCGTAAAAACCGTAGTACCATCGATCATTTAGTGCGCATAGAATCTTTTGTGAAAAATGCCATAATTAATAAACAGCATGCAGTGTCGATCTTTTTCGATTTAGAAAAAGCATACGACACAACATGGAAACATGGGATTTTAAAAGATTTACATGACTTTGGATTACGAGGCCGTTTGCCTCACTTTATATCCAACTTTTTAAATGACAGGCAATTTCAAGTCCGAGTGGGTTCAACCCTGTCTGACCATTACATTCAGGATCAGGGAGTCCCACAAGGCAGTATTTTGTCTGTAACATTGTTTAGTATCAAGATTAACAGTTTATCACAGGTTTTAACTGATTCAATTGATGGATCACTTTTTGTGGATGATTTTAATATTTCTTGTCGCGGTAAGAATATGCATACTATTGAACGGCAAATGCAGCTGTGTTTAAATAAAATACATAAATGGTGTCTTGAAAACGGTTTTAAATTTTCTAAATCCAAAACTAATTGTATACATTTTTGTAGAAAATATAAACCGCATAAAGACCCGGAACTGTTCCTCAATGGCACTCCCATCAAAATTGTGAATGAGGCCAGGTTCTTGGGCTTAATTTTTGACTCGCATCTAACTTTTCTTCCCCATATCAAGTCCTTAAAAAACTAAATGCCTGAAGGCGCTTGACTTGTTGAAAGTCGTTTCCAATTCTAAGTGGGGAGGGGATCAAGCTACCCTCCTACAATTATATCGATCATTGGTACGTTCCAAACTTGATTATGGCTCCATCGTTTATGGTGGAGCCTGCAACAGTAATCTCAAACTTTTAGATTCTGTCCACCACCAAGGTCTAAGACTATGTCTTGGTTCCTTTAGAACTTCACCTGTTGACAGCCTTTACGTCGAGGCTGATGAGCCATCTCTTACACAACGCCGTATAAAATTAACTTTACAGTATATTACAAAACTTTATTCCAATGAGTTAAACCCTGCATATAACCGTGTCTTTAATCAACTATATGAAGATCTGTATAACAAGAAGCCTTCTCTTGTTCCGCCTCTTGGTATAAGAGTGAAACCTTTCCTTTCTGCTGCTGGCATTGAGCTAGAACATATAGCTCCTTCCCGTTTTCTTTCTTCTCCGCCTTGGCAATTGGTTAGGCCTGAAGTTGACCTAACATTAACTACATTTAAAAAATCAGAAACAAATGAATTACAGTATAAACAAGAATTTAGTCAATTAAGAAATAAATATAATACATACAAATCCTTATTTACAGATGGGTCCAAGGATGGTGGCGCAGTGGCATGTGCCACTGTCATTGGATCCCGAACAATATCTTCTAGAATACCGGATAACAGCTCTATATTTACAGCAGAAGCAAACGCCATCTTAACAGCTCTTAAATATATTAATAAACACCGTAAATATAAACAATATATCATCTTTTCAGATTCTCTTTCGTGTCTTCAGGCTATTAAAAATCTTTCTTGCAAACATCCACTTTTATTAGAAATTATTGAATTGTACAATGCACTTGCTACTGGCCAATGCGACATCGTCTTTTGTTGGTTGCCCAGCCACGTTGGCATTTCTGGGAACACGATGGCTGATATTGCTGCTAAGGCAGCCCTCAACAAATCTGTGACACCACTTCTTATCCCATACTCTGATTATAAAGCCAGCATTAGAACATACATCCGCGATCTAATGCAAAAAGAAGTGGGACACCCAAGTAGGTATTAATAAATTACATGCAATAAAACCCTACATTGGTTACACCTACTTGGGTTGTCCGTCCAGATTTAAAGAGGTCATTATGCGATGCTGTCGCATTGGCCATACCAGATATACTCATGAATATTTATTGAAAGGCGAAGATCCTCCGTTTTGTATCCCTTGTGATGAAAGGATCACAGTCAAGCATGTCTTGCTTGACTGCATTGAATATTCCATCACAAGGGATACCTATTTCAAATCCAAAACTCTGAAGGATCTTTTTAATAATGTCAGTTCTCATTTAATTATTGCATTTTTAAATCAATTAGATTTGTTGACTGATTTGTAAATAGCTAAATATTTTATTGTTGGTAGTTTATACGAGTAACTGAGATTGTTAGTGGCTGTACCCTCAAAGGGGGGTTGACATAGCGTAAAATTATTGTCCTCCTGAGGGGGTACGCAAGTCCCAAAACTTTCAAAGTCAATTTAAGTGTACCAGGTTTTTAATCTCAGAATATGTGTGCTTTTAATTTATGGCTAGATTTCTCTTCTGTCGCCAATGGCTGAAGGGATGGTGTAAATCCAACTAGGGTCCATGCAGGTAGCAAAAGTAATGTAAGTCCCCATGGTTCCTAGTATGGTCATCTACCTTCAGTTGTTGGCGATCTATAGCCCGATTTTATATTGTATTGTCTTCATAAATAAAATAGTCTTACATGTTCATGCTAGTTTTAGAATCCATCTGTGATACTCTAGTTATTATACAGTCCTTCGATGACTGATTATTTAGCAACATTAATTTATTGTTTATATAAAACATTTCTCGTCACTATATGGCTGAAATATTGCCGATGTGACGTTAAATATTAACTCACTCACTCACGAAAATGAGATAAGTAAGTTTATACACGGACTTTGTGAATTTTAATAAAATGTGAGCGCTACGTTCGACACAGTTCCTGACGCAAGAATTTCCTAGAAACTATGAAGATAAAAGAGGTATGCATATCGTTTAATCATCAAACAAAAGTAAGTCTTTCTTGACAGATATCATGATTCGGCAATATTCAAAGTAAAACATCGATGTATCGTGGCCCATTTGAAGTATCGTATCGGGATATACGACAATGTATCGGCGGCCCATGGATCAATGCATCGAAGTGTATCGACGAATCGTCACACCACTAGTGCCTGGTAGACTTTTTATGCTCACTTTTTTTTTATCAAATATGTCCTTGGATTCAGGTGATGTTTCTGTAATGCTCATGTGCGCATATAGAACATGGACGTATACAGGGTACCCTGAAAAAGAGCAAGCCCTAAAACGTCGTTAAACACAATAAATAGATTGCCGCGATAATCTGATGTTTAATCAGATGTTAAAAACTTTCAGACATCTTAAATTCCATGTAATAACAGGACACCAGAAAGCACAGATTTCAACTTAACACCACAGTGACATTCATTATTCGCGCTCCTGACATAATAGGAGGGTTATTCATCAGGAAGAATAATAGACTTTGCATTGGAACGGCTGGTTGCCAAGTAATGTGTTTATGGTTATCTTTTAAATAATAGGCACAAAATGCAGAGAGTAAAATATTGTGTTGATGTGCCACAAGGGCTTATTGTCAGAAACTCAACAGTTCACTCAACAAAAGCATCAATGCCGTTTTTTAGCTTCAAGGCTCAATTCAAAAGAGATTACTGCACCCACATTGCTTCCTGGCACATCATGCACAGGCGGTAATAGAGTATATATTCTGTTACCACATTTCATAGCAGTAAATATCTAACGTATTACTATCATTGTATAATTATCATATATACAGGTGAAAATCAAAACGAACCTGAGAAATCTCCACAACATGTCGACAAGCAGGAAACATTCGTCAACAGGCCACTTCACGAGGCCTGCAGGAAGGGGGACCTGAACCGAGTGAATCACATCCTGTCCCAGGATTTGGTCGACATCAACAGTAGAGACGAGAAGCAGGGAAGGACACCACTCATGGTGGCAGCACAGGAAGGAAATTGCAGAATGTTTGACTTTCTTATCAGTAGAGGGGCTAATATGCAAGAAGTGGATAATAACGGCAACAACGTCCTGCACTGGGCATGCAAGGGTGGACATGTGGATATGTTGGAGTGTGTGCTCCGGCAATACGGTATTTTTAAGAATGTGCAAACGTCCCCTCTTATACAGGCTGTACGTACTGGAAACAGGGACGTTATTGAGTTTCTCGTGTCTACGGGAAGTAATGTGTCACAAGTTGATCAGTTCGGCAACACCGCCCTGCACTGGGCCTGCACAGGCAGGCATGTGGCTATGGTGAAGTATCTAGTTTCACAAGGCAGTGTTGATGTTAACAGTAGAAATAGAGACGGAAGGACCGCCTTGATGGGGGCTGCATTAAAAGGGAATAGAAACGTTTTTGAGTTCCTCGTGAACATGGGAGCTAATGAGTCACACGTGGATGATGATGGACACAACATCCTTCATCTGGCCTCTTCATATGGACGTATGGAGATGGTGAGGCACATCCTGTCACAGAACCTGGTCGACATTAACGCCAGGGACAAAGATGGGAACACGGCAGCCATGATAGCAAAGCGTAAAAGAAAGCTTCACGTGTATAATCTTCTTGTTTCGAGGGGTTGTCCCGTGAAATAGGTGTAGCTTGTCGGTTGATGTCACGCACCATGATATGTTGGCGGTAATCAGTAGTAGAATGTCACAATCGTCTTTTACACATGTGCGGTGCAGTTTATGACAAGCAGGTAACAGACAGTGATAATTACTGTCCAGAACAACTCCGAAACCGTTCAATATCTTTCAACTAAACGTGAAAGGCAGTCTGCTTCTACTTCAGCTATTTTTGCTAGTTAAATTTCCTTTCTCCATGGAAGCAGCTTAGGCCAAACAGAAACGGAGGTTGATACTACAGAGAGCTATAATGTTTTCCTTCCTTAGAAGGCAAGAAGTTCAATTCTACTCCTATCAGCATTCAGAGTTTGATGGGACAATCAATCTAAACCCATACTCTCCCAAAAACGGAAACGCACAAGTGATATTGATGTATGGAATTTACCATTGAAATTTTTTATTGTAATAATTTCACCATTATACTGGGGGATGGGGGTATTATATGGATCGAATGCACAACGCAAAGATGCATCTTTTGAAACTAAATGCACGTGTACGTTCTAAAGTCTCAACCTGTATCAAAATGTTATGGAGAAAAAGTGGCTCACATTATGCACGTGCAGTTCTGAGGAAACCTCAGGAGGGACATTGCGTCTATAAGGTATTTTAAGCTAAATGAAAGAATATCGTTATGGGATGACCGATATCAACTGTGATATATGGAATTTTAAATTTATCATTGGAATTTTTGATTGTTATAATTTCGCCTTTATACTAGGTGGTTGTAAATGGAACGAATGCACAACGCAAAAATGCATCTTTGGTAACTTAATGCACGTATACGTTCGAAAGTTTCAACCCTGCATGAAATGTTACAGGGAAAAATTGGCTCGCTATATGCACGTGTAGTTCTGAGGACACCTGAGCAGGAAACATTGCCTATGTAAGGCATTCTTGCTTTTGGACGGTCATTGGCATTTTACAGCTAAATGAAAGAATATCGTCATAGCTTTGAATCGATTTATGCTACCGATATAAACAAACCAATATTATGCAAGTTTGTATTCCAAGCGATAGATCTCGGATTATCACTGCAGCGCAGGATAGGTACATCCCGGTATTTCATTTGCGGAATCGAGCTGTCCCAGAAATTGCAAATGCAAGGGCAGTGACTAGTATGAGGAGAGTGTTGGCGCAAAACATTCGTAATCGTTAACGAGAAGCTGGACTTTGAGCAAAAATACCGTATTTTGGCCCTATGACGGGTCCAGATGTGCAATAACGTTCAATTCTGGAATATGTAAAATATGCGATGTGTATGGTTCAGTGGCGAATCACGCTCTCTGCTTCAGTGCCTTAACGGAAGAGTATGTGTCTACCGACGTCGAAATGAACGTCTCGCCCAGAATTGGGTCGCCCAGGTTGACCAATATGTGGTTGGTGTGTCATGATGTGGGGAGCCATATCCTACAGTAAAACAAATCTTTCTCTGTGCGCCTTCAGTCCAATCAAACTGCTATTCATTACAGAGACGAAATCTTAAGGATTAACATGGTTTTGATCATTGACTGCCAGAAGGAGTTGTTCCAGCAAGATAAAACCAAGCCGCACACAGCACATGCCACTATCCAGTATCTTCAGAATGAGAACATTACAGTGCAAAATATTACATAAAAATTCACAAAAATAAAAATGAAGAAATACACCCGTACTGAGCCATGTCACACACGTACAGACCCTTCCTTTCCGGGTACAAACAGCGAAACAAAAATCAAAAGCGACTTTTTTCTCATGTTACACGAAATGCACGTGCATATTGACGGTTTAACACACCATACGAGACACGTGAGCTGGACATAAATGAAAAAAACACAAAGAATGTGCAACGTTTGAGGCAAATCGAAAGAGAGAGAGAGCGCGGTCGGAATGGCCCAACAGGCAATAATACGTCAGACAGGCCTAGGAGTTTGACAACGCCCGGTGATGAATGCCACATCCTGACAATTCATCTCGGAAATAGTTTTGTGACGGCGACGTCAACGGCAGTGACGGCACTAGGACAACATATCAGTCGACATACAGTGTACCGGCGATTATGAGAACATGGTATTCGAGCGCGTCGACCCTACCACTTAGTGCATCTGACTCGTTAAAACCGACGTCGTCGATTGACATGGGCCAGGCGAGTTCCACGTTGGCAGATGCGACGTGTGCTGTTCTACGACGAGAGTAGGTTTTGCCTGTACAGTAATGACAGCTGGGCCCGTGTTTACAGACGAGTAGGTTTGGCAACGAATTGCGTTCAGCAAGTCGAACCGTTTTGAGCCGTTGCGTGATGATGTGGGGAGAAATCTGCGGCGATCTCAAAACGAGATTTCATGGCAACCTGAGTGCGCGAAGATTCTTCAGGGATGACATTTTGCGACTGGTTGCGTTGCCATTTATCCAGCAACAACCACGTAGACAATGTCTACCAACACGATAACGCATGGCATCATATAGCACAACTGACAAATGGCTTTCTGCACAACGCTAACATCAGTTTGCCCTGGCCAGCATGTTCTCTCAACATGAATACGATAGAACACTCATATGACTTTCTTGATCGACAAATCAGAAGATCGCCAGCCCCACCTGTCACCGCTCAACAACTGGAACAATTTCTCCTACAGGAATTCAATGGATCACGCCTAACGTCATTTGTCATCTTACGTCATCAATGCGTGTTTTGGCGTGTATTGAATCAAATGGCGGTCACACTCACTATTGATTCAACATTTGATGACCTTTTGCAGAAAAAGCTGCCTTACTGATTTGTGTAAATGTTGAGACTATGATACCACGTGTCTTTCCGTGTCAGTAAAACGACTTTGTATGAAAAGAAAATTATAATTTTGCTGTGGAATTGAATACTCTATTGAAATGAAATAGATACTTTCTTTTGAGCACTAATATATTTGGCTGCAACTTATCCAGAATTAAGTGTTATTTCCCTTTAAAGTTAGCAGAAAAAATCTTGGAAATACACCTAAGCGTTTCTTTTTTCGGAGAGTATAGTAGGTATTTTTTCAGCAATTGAGGCACAAAAATGAATATGTGGTGCTGCTTTCTTTTATGTTTAGTCTTAGACGTTGTTTTGTGCAAGAGGTGAATAATACCACGCACTTTATGTCGAACAGGTAACAGATATTGATAATCTCATGTAATGTTAGGATGAATAGGTAACAGACATTAATGATTATTGTAATGTTAGTCTTAGTCGTTGTTTTGTGCACTCGGTGGCGGGTACCGTGCCTTGTAGGATGAATGGGTAAGAAACATTAATGATTATTGTAATGTTACTGTTAGTCGTTGTTTTGTGCTCTGGGTGGCGGGTACCGTTCCTTGTAGGATGAATGGGTAAGAAACATTAATGATTATTGTAATGTTAGTGTTAGTCGCTGTTTTGTGCTCTGGGTGGCGGGTATCGTGCCTTGTAGGATGAATAGGTAAGAAACATGGATGATTATTGTAATGTTAGTGTTAGTCGCTGTTTTGTGCATTGGGTGGCGGGTATCGTGCCTTGTAGGATGAATAGGTAACAGACATTAATGATTATTGTAATGTTAGTGTTAGTCGCTGTTTTGTGCACTGGGTGGCGGGTATCGTGCCTTGTAGGATGAATGGGTAAGAAACATTAATGATTATTGTAATGTTAGTGTTAGTCGCTGTTTTGTGCACTGGGTGGCGGGTATCGTGCCTTGTAGGATGAAAAGGTAAGAAACATTAATGATTATTGTAAT